ATAAATTATGTTATTGATTGGGATATGAGTACAAATGCAAGTTATCCCGGGGTGAGGTCAGGGCTATCGCGTCCTAATTCATAAGGAAGGGTTATCATGCCTAGTATGTGTGTGCTGTGCTATCGTTTGTCCATTGGATGGCACAGCACACACAATCACAAGAAACCTCGAAGCGAGGAACAGTTCTTGTAAGGATGTGGTAACTATATACCTATCCTTACAAGAACTTGTATAGTGGAGCAATGTTCGAATTGCTCCACTTTTCCTCCCATCGAGGTTATCCCGAGGTGAAGTCATAGCAATGGGGCTCATATTGATGGTGCACCATTGCTATGACTTGCACCTTCGTATGGTACTATCCATTATGAATTTTGAAATAATTTTGCAATTGAAATGATCTTAAATTTAACAAAAAAGGCCGAGAAGGGGGTCCTTTCTCAAGGTCAGGGCCACCTTCTAGTCTTTCTGGTATCGGAAGGAGTGGCTTTTGCCAGTATTGCCGCTCCTTCCGGCATCATCTTTGCATTTCGCAATTGTCGCGGCAAGTGCATTCTGGCACCACAGGTGCACTTGCCGCGACATATGATTGCGAGTGTCTGCTGCTCAGCCCCGGATTCGCAGCAGACACTCGCAATGCGAACCAAAGTTCGCCAGAAAGACCGGGAAGGGGGTCCTTTCTTAAGGTCAGGGCCCCCTTCTAGTCTTTCTAGAACTGTAATTTGACTTATTTTGCCGAATCTCAGGGAAAACCGTCCGTGATTTGAACGATCTCCTGAGATTCGGCAAATTTGATTGTAAGCGAGGCTCTGGCCTTTGCTTGGGCCAGAGCCTGTATTTGTATGTCTTTCAGGGCCGAGTTCCTGCGAGATCGTCGACATGATCGACGATCATCGCAGAACTCGGCCCTGAGGATGAATTTTGCAGGCTCTGGCCTTTGCTTGGGCCAGAGCTTCGTATTTTCTACTTCCCAGGGCCGGATTCCACTCCTGCCGCCCGGGATAAGGGCGGCATTTGGGAAAGCCGGCCCTGGGGAATGTAAGCCATGCCCTGGCCTTTGCTATGGCCAGAGCCTGTATTTGCATGTCTTTCAGGGCCGAGAAGAGAGGAGATCGCCAATGATGTGGACGATCTCCCTCAAACTCGGCCCTGCGGATTGTATTTACAAGCTCTGGCCTCGGAAAAGGCCAGAGCTTCGTATGGACGTTCTCTCGGGACTGGATTCCTCTCCGGCCGCCCCGAATCAGGGCGGTCTTTGAGGAAGCCGGCCCCGAGGATTGTTTGCGAAGCTCTGGCTTTTCCTGAGGCCAGAGCTTGTGATTTTCGTTCAAAGCCAAGTTCCTCTCGGATCAGGCCTAATGAGGACGACCGTCGAGGAACTTGGCTCTGAGGGGATGAATTGTTGGCTCTGGCCTCGATGAAGGCCAGAGTTTTGAATGGAATGTTTTGATGGGATGAGCCTATGAGCAGTAAGCTCGTCCCATCAAAACATTCGTTTAAAAATTGAATTAAAAATTATCGTATGCATTCAAAAATTAAAACAATTAATATGTATAATATTATTATGTAATAATAATAGAATAAAATATATATAAAATTATGTAAAATTTTCAAAAAATATTGGAAAATGGAATTTTGAAAGAAAAAATAAGAGTTTGTATATGAAAAATTGATATTAGAAAAAATCTAGATTAGTAGAGTTAGATTATTTAGAATTTAAATGAGAAATGAATTATGAAAAAGGAAGATTAGAAAGAATTGTATATTTATAATTTAATAAAATGAAGGAATCGAACTAAGGAGTTTACAATTAAAAAAAAAAAAAAAAAAAAAAAAAAAAGGTAGTGGGGCTTCCAGGCACTTCGTGCCCTCTAGCCCCCCGTCACTTTTCTGTCACTTTTCAGGAAAAAACATTTTTATTATATATATAAAATGAATTTTACAAAACCACCGTTACCCTTCTTTGGAAATAAGAGTAGATGTAAAGATATTCTATTGAGAGAACTTAAGAAACTACCGAATGGTCTAACATTTGTAGACTTGTTCGGTGGAAGTTTCTATATATCTCATTTGTGCCATACAATATTTCCTGACTCAAAGATTATATGCAATGACTTCGACAACTATATGAACCGTCTCAAACATATACCAGACACAAACAAAATATTGAAAGAGTTAAAAGAAAAGATACCTATAGGTAAGATGGAACGTATACCATTAGATAAGAAAAATACTGTCAGAGAGGTTTTGAAAAAGGCAGAGTATATTGACTGGGATAGTATATCTGCTAGACTATTATATAGTGGTGCTATAAGAGTTCATGACATTGAAACACTTATGTCAAAAGTTTTATATCTTAACTATACAAATGTTTTCAAAGAGAACATAGAAAAATATATTGAGGGTATAGAGTTTGTGAGATGTCATTGGACAGAGTTGTATGAAAAATATAAAGACAAGGAAAATGTTTTCTTTATAGTGGACCCGCCGTTCTATAACACATGGGATTTTCAATACCAAGTAGACTGGACTTTGAGAGACTCTTTAGAAACTTTAGACGTTTTACATAACCATCCATGCTTTTACTTTACATCCGATAAAAGTGGTTTGGAAAGTGTCATGAGATGGTTAGAGGACATACATGACTATGAGTTTAGATATGACAAGATAGAATATGAGAGAGGTCCTATAAACTGGAGAAAGTGTCATAACAAAGAAATTTTACTAGTAAGTAAATGTGGTTTGAAATAGGACTACTTGTTTTAGGTTTTTTCCATTGTGTCATTTATTTATTTGACGTGGCAGAAAGATATAGAGAATATGAAGATGAACCAATGCCTGCAAATGTTCAGTATATGTACTCGTAAGAGATATTTTTATCTAATATTAAATGGACGCACAGAACTTAGCGAATGCACAGCAACCTGGACAACCAAACCCAGAGAATATTCCAAATGAAGTTAGAATACAAACTGCAATGGCAAACTATGGTCAAGTGCCAACAGATGTACAAATGCAAACTGCCATGTCAAATGACGCTGCGTTAGGTTTGCCACCATGGTATGCAAATATGAGATGGAAAGAGTTTTATACAAACCCTGAAGTGGGATATAAACAACTTTATGCAGATGACGCGAACACAGGAGTTGACCCAGAATATGTTTTCTACCAGAGGAGAAACAGAATGTATGAGCTCCAGTTAAAGAATGCTATGGAACTCAACAGGAAACGTAAGAGACTAGGCGGACATTAGATTTTTACATATAGTAAAATGGGTTTCTTCAGTAAGATAGGAAACTTCTTTCGAAATGTTGGAAGAGGTATATGGAATGGAATAAAAACCGTAGGAAGAGGAATTTGGAACGGTGTCAAAAATATTGGTAAAAGAGTAGGTCAGTTCGTTGGTATTATACCTAAAGACCCTGAACCAGAAGAACAAGCTCCTGTTATACAACAGCCTGAACCTGCACCACAGTCAAGTTGGCAACCAAATCCAACACCTCAACCGTATTAAAAAATTATATTTTTACCGTTCGATAGTAGTTGTATATGAAACTAAGTTCTAAGTAAAACACATGGTATAATGGAATTATTCTTTTTCTTCCATCTGTAGTAAACCATACTTGAAAGTCTGAAATACTTCCACTTGGTGGTTCGTATAACTTTGTAGGTTTTTCGTAAAAGTCATTTGCCAAGCATAAGAAAGAGTTTTGGGCGCCAGAAAATGAAGCATGAACAATAATAGCATCTGGGTCGAAAACATCTTTAAATAAATATGGTTCATCTCTTGCATATCGACTGTAAATATTTGCTAAAGGAAGTTCGACTTTCTGATTTAACATTCTTTGCAAATAATACCATGACATTGCAGTGAATTCTGTATATATTTGTTCGTCTTTCTTTGGATTGTCTTCGTAGATTTGAAATGACACTTGTGAATTTTGTTTGTCATATACAATTCTCACATAAAGTGTGCTCTCGGTATTTGCATATTCATCAGCATATTTTGCATAACATGAATTTATTTTATCTTCTATATTTTTTAACGCAGTCTGTAGAGAAGATGAAAGGTCAACTTGTATTAGCTCAATTTCTTCCCACATTTTTCGTTTCCCTTCAGATATATAATCTATATGAAACCTTACAATAAATGGAAAACTTTTATCTTCTACAGACACAAACTTCATTCTACGAAAGCCAATAGCTTTTGTGACAGATGGGTCTCTTAGCCATCTTAATGGGTAGTCAAAACGATAGCCTTCATGCTTTACGGTCTCTGTCTCAAACTTTTGACCGACATTCGTAAAAAGTTCATCTAATGGTTTAGTTGTAGCAACTCTTGAATTTTCTTTTTTTTCTATTGGAAGCATATTTTATCTAGAATAAAAATGTCAAATGAAACAGCGTCTATGAGAGAAATACAACACAACCGACAACTCATTATGCAAGCTCTAAATAAGAACACAACAAACTTTTCAAACTATTCTAAGATATCTGAGTCATTGAAAGAAGGAAACCTAAAACTGACATTAAACCCAATGACAGACGAGTTTCTGTTTCAAGACAACAAGAACCATACTGTTTGTATAAATCCAACAAAAAGAACTTTAAACGAGAAACCTATAGATGAACTTCTTTTGAAAGCAGATATTGACAACAAAGCTGACAAAGAGTATGTCATTGAAAAAGTTCAAGAAGAACATGACAGAGCAGATGCAACATATGCAACAAAAGAGGATGTTGAAAAGAAAGCTGACAAAGAGTATGTTGACGATGAGTTAGCATATCTGGCTAGTGGGTTAGTGAAGAAGGCAGATAAGGAATATGTGGATGAAAAAGACAATGAAATTATAAAAAGGGTTGAATGGTACCATGAACGGACATCGAAGATTTTAGAAGGTAAAGCCAATACAGGGTGGGTTTCAGGATGTTTAGACCTTAAAGCCGACAAAGAAACTGTAGATATGTTGACACAAACGGTTTCAAGTCATACCAGAGGTTTAATGGAAGATGGACAACAGTTGAAAGAGCTTGAGAAAGGTGTTACAGAGTTAAGGAATACAAAAGCAGACTCGACATGGATAGCTGGATATGTAGATGCAACAAAAGAACGTATTTTAGCATGGACAGAAGGAACATACCCACAAAAATATCATAGACATAGCATCTCTGACGTAAATGAACTTGAAGAAAAGTTATATAAAAAAGCAGACAAAACAGAGCTTCAAACATTAAAGACAGAAATACTTCAAACAGTATATCCTATAGGTTCTATTTATACGTCAATGAACTCTACCAGACCAGAAGTAGTACTTGGTCTCGGAACTTGGACTCAAATAGTCGACAGGTTTTTGTATTGTGCAAACTCTTCAAAGGAAACAGGTGGAAGTAAAACGATTTCAGGTGAAAATTTACCTGCACACAGTCACTACATAGATTTAAGTACATCTCAAGCAGGTTGGCATAAGCATAGATATTGGGATTGGTCAGGAATGACAAAAGGTAAAGGATATGATGTTAAAGACGAGGTTAAGTTTGCTATAAATTGTTACTGGAGTGACACTCAGGGAGATGGAAACCATACACATCGCGTTTCGGGATATACACAAACAACGGGACAAAGTAAAGATTACATGCCGCCATTTATGACAGTTTACGCATGGTATAGAATTGCTTAGTCGTCATTTTCAACTTCTTTAGCATATTCGTCAGGAGTTGTCTTATATTTGTTAGGAACTGTCTTTGAAAGTATACCACCTTGAACTTTGACAAGTTTGAAACGAGGTCTGACAATAGTAGTTTTATCTTCTGCTTGCAGTCTGTACATTTTGCCATGTTTGCCTAAAACTTCATAATATTCTCTTGTATACTTTCTTCTATTTTTACGAACACGAAGGTGAGTACCTGTCGAGTTCCCATTGTTGTCATAGTCAATAGTATTTTCATATGGGTCGCGTTTAGGTATTTCTATTTTTACTTTGTCACCTTTCTTAAGTTTGAAGCCTGGCATTCTTTCTTGTTTGTCTCTTTTGACTAAACTATTAAATATATAGTCTTTCTCTAAGTCGGGGTTTTTTTCATTTCTTCGGGGGAGTGGTTTCCCAAACCTTTTTGTTTACGGCTATTGTAAATATTTAAAACTTGTCTCATCTTTGCCATGGAGAAATGTCTATATTTGTCGTCATATGACATTTCATCTACCTCACCACCTTGTGGTTGATTTAAATCTCTTAAGATTTTTATACAACTGTCAATGACACCAAGAGCAGAATGGTTTTGGTCGACAATGAAATATTGGTTTACATTTTTTGAACGCAGATAGTTTTTAATATCGTCTGATTTGAAAGAACTTTCACAGTCAGATGTCAGTTTTGTTGGATGGTATTTGTCAACGAATATTGTCAAAGCTGCTAAGATATCTAAAATATTTTTGGACTGTAATGGTATGGCTTCACAGTATCTTGTGTTTTGACCGACAAATATTAGCCAGTATGGTGGTCCATCTTCTCTATACCTCGGAATGTTTTCCAAGATATCCATAAACCAAGCATTTGGTGTTGAACTAAAGATTTTTATCATGAGTGCTTTCTTTGTTGCCTTAGAAACATAGGGGTCCTTGTTTGGATTCGTCATTTTTACCCTATAAGAAATGGGTTTATTTGGCGCATTAGCAGGAGTTGCATCCAGATTTTTGCCCGCAGTGGGAACAATAGCCAGAGGTGTATTTGGAGTTGGAAGGAAGATTTTGAGTACATTAGGTATACTTAAAGAGAAAGCACAACCTATTATACAAACTGTACAGAAAGGTTGGGATGTAGCACGAGATGCAGCAAATCTTATTCCAAATCCTGAAACAAGAGGAAAAGTTCAAGGATGGATGGACAATGTAGGAAGACAAGCAGGAAACTATTATAACAAAGCAAATGACTACTATAACCAAGCAGGACACTATATGGACCAAGGTGAAAGATTCTTTAACAGAGGATATAACCATGCACAACAATGGGTAAACAATAACCAACCTCAACCGCCTCAAACGTGGGGAATGTAAAGTTTTTTACTGAGATGAAATGAACAATACAGCATTGAGACAAATGGGTTCAAGATGGATTTGTCGGCTTCCAGCAGTTACACAACCACGTGTTTGTCAAGTTCTTCCTATACCTCAGGAAGTTTTAGACCGACTTAAAAAACCTAAACAACCAGTTGAAAACAAAACAAAACTAAAATTTTTACTGAGATGAAATGACCGAAGAAGTTGAAACGGTAGATTTGACACCACAAACAAAAAGTTCAGAACCATTGTCAAAACCTGTCAAAGAACTTACAGATGAAGAGAAAAATTCAATAATAGAAAGTGCCAGGTCTGGAAATACAAACCCTAACTACAAAGTCACTTTTCATAGAAATGGAACGGCTAGTATCTCAAAAAAGAAACAGACTCTCACAAATAAAATATTGAAGTCTGAAGGAGCTTTCGAGACAACAGATGGAAAAGTTTACTTCACTGACCAACAGTTCATTATAGAACATCTCATTGACTTAGAGTCGAAATATTCTAAACTTTACAACAAACACAAAAAGTTGAAAGGAAAACAAAAACAAATGGCATATGATATTTATGAAGATGTTGACGACACAACTGTTCCTGCAGGTGAGGTAAAGTCAGAGGAACCGAAAAGTGACGAAAAACCGATAGAAGAAGAGAAACCAAAAACTGAAGATAAACCAAAACCAAAGTTTAGTTTCCAAACTAAACCAAGTCAACCTTCATTAGCTGGTATGGGTTGGCGTCAAAGACTTATGGCAGCAGGCGGTTACGTAAAGTAAAGAAAAAACATTTTTTTATTTTTATAAAAATGCCCCCATATAGAATGGATAGAAAATCTGCTAGAATAAAAGCAGAGTTAGAAAGATATGGTTGGAAAGTTTCGAAGAATTTTAAATATAGGAAGGGAAGACCCATAAAAGTCTATGACAAACTGGCTGGTCTTCGCTATGAAATGGACTTAGAAACAGCACGCGCAAACTATCCAAACAGATTAGAGAGGTTAGAAGAAGAACGTCTTATGGACATACCTTTCGATGTTACTGAGCCTCAAGTTGAAGGACACGACGGCTTTGCCAGATTCTACTGGAAACATGACGAACAATTGCATCCTTTGAGAAGGAAAAAAGGAAAAGGTGAAGACACACATGCTCCCATGGAAAGAACAAGATATGCATATGAAAAGTACCGTGAAGTTAGAAGTCAAATTACATCTGGTCGAACCTTTACAGTAAACTTTGACGAAGGAAAGAACAAAGAAGGCTTCATGGGAGTACTTGCTGCCATACAAGACGGAAATAAGAAAGGATACAATCTCAGACTAACCGTAACAGATTTAGATGGTCACATTTACTATGCGCATGGCAATGAACAAACAGCCGCACAACTTCTTGACGCTTTCAAGACTACAAAGAGAGAACAAATGGTTGACTCCGACTCAGACATTTTGAATGCAATTGAAGGAATTGCAAGTGTCAAGTTCGAATGGTACCAACCTAACCCTCAAGCAGTCAGACAACATGCTGGATACTTCCCGTTCAGAAATAAGTCTGACATTAACTTAACCAGGTATGGAATTTACAATTCAATTGAAACAATTGTCAATGAACCTTGTATTCTTACATGTCTCAGGAACTCTGGTCTTGTTTCAGAAGAGAAAATGAAGTATCTTGAGTCATGTGTGAAGACAAGGTACATGCTCAGAGGTCAATTGGCTAAAATTGCACCGTTGGCAAATGTGAATATCCGAGTCAACATTCCGACTGAGAAAGGTTCTTCACATGACGACTATGTTGTTGACAAAGACTTACCATGGTTGAAGATTGTAATTGTCCACAACCACTTCATGTTGAACGAAAGTCTTACAAACCCATTGTTCGGAAAAGGCAAGTGCAACATTGTCAGAGCTGTTAACATTCTTTTCGAGAAAGGTTTGTTGGAACCAATTCCAGATGACAAGCTGACAGAAACTTTTGTACCAAAAGACGAAACAAACTTTTCACTGTTAGCAAGACCAAAAGTTGTTCCAGACAAAGTTCTAGTACAAAAGAAGTACACAGTTCCAAAAGGAGTTGGATTGTTCGGATACCAACCTGAACCAGAAGAACTTCCAATGAGGTTGCAAGAACTTCAAGATGCTATAAACAAACTCCCATTGAGACATCCAATTGACGTCAAATTGTATTGGAGAGCATCTGAGTTAGGTCAGAAGGTTTTATATGAAACAGGTTGCTTCGACGATGTTTATGAGATAACAGGAGAGTTTCTCAGAAGATAAGAGACTCGCTTGAATTTCCAAAAACTGGTCCGATTGGATGCGATAAGTTCGACTCAGATGAAAAAATATACTATGTCGACCTTAACGCCGCATACATGAGGTTCGTCCAATATATCCCGACTGGAATTCCAAACGAAGATGGAGAGTTCCCAGGAAGGAACTATACAGTTGGAAAAGTCATACAACAACTGTATGATATTAGGAAAGCTTCAAACCCCAAACTTGCAATGACACTCAAATTGCTTATGAATTCGACATGGGGATATTCCATTAAAAAACCTCAAGAGATGAAGAGTAAACATTATGAGAAGGTCGACAACTTTGTTGAAAGGTTTTCTTTTGTTTTGAAGTACGAATTCACTCAAGGTCAAAGTGGCTTAGTAACCACATTAAAACCTATTGTCGAACATTGGTCTTACCCTCAGTTCGCAAAAGCAGTCCTTGACAACTACAACAAATTCTTCTCGGAAGTCAAATCCAAAGTGAAGGTTTACTATGAGAACATTGACGCACTCATGACGAACGAAGAAGGATACAACAAACTCATTGAAATGGGTATGGTCGGTGAGAAGATGGGTCAATTCAAATTGGACAAAATTTTCACCGAAGTTCATGTCCTCTCCAAGCGTAAGTACTGGGGTGTTAAAGAAGATGGTGAAATAGTTAAACATTGCATGAAGTAAAAAATTTTTATTCGAATTTGAATCGGACAGGTCGAGTTACACCATTCTTGGTCTCAAACTCATATATAACCTGTTTGTCTGTATTTTCGTCGACTATGGCACGAGACACAAACATTGACCAAACGGACAAAAAGTGTCATTTCGGATGGTCACGCAGCCAATCGCATTCGAGCACTTCGAAGAAGCCTTACGTTCCAAGGAAGAGGGTGTCTGGTGCAAGGGAGAGGTCATGAGACTCTACGAGCAGTACATCCTCAATGCCTGGGAGGACAAATCGTCCTTGGATTGGCAAATCTACCAACTCCTCTGGGACGACCTCCTACGCAACTGGGATGACGAAAGAGTCCAATTCAAAGGTCGGGAACTAATTTTGCAAATTGACCTTAATTTCACATACTTATCCAAATAAACACCTAAATTTACTTGGGGTTTCCCCCTAAAATAAAATTTTTTTACTCTTAGAACCACTCGAGGTTCTCCTTACGATTGTTGAGCTTGTCACCGTCAATGTGTCTGACCCTCGTCTTCTTGTCTGGATTTGGAACCCATTGAATTGCGACAAGCTTGCCCATGGAGATTGAACCGCGATTCCGAAGGTTAAGGTTCAAGTGTCCCAAGTTGTTGAGGACTGGGGTAAGAACCTTGCCTGTCTCCTTGTTGCGGATTTGG